CATAATTTCTCAAAGAACAACAAAGCGCCAACAACTTGATTCAAATATTTACAAATCTGGAATCGTTACAATTAACAACAACGAAAGTTTTCATAAAACTGCAGAAGTTCGCCGCGTTTTGTGTACTTACTTTTGTAATTATGGAAATGCAGCGGAACGAAGTCCACCGTACGACATTAGAAAATCGATTATTTAAATTTTTACCTTTTTACATTTCCACCGCGAGCATCCCAAAAGCACTTAGTGCGGGTGCCATTCAACCCCAATGAAATTATGCAGACTGGATGGATTTTTTTGTCGAATTCTGTTTCGTTTTTCGGTCACGTAATTAACATTTTCGTTATGGGAATCTTGAGAGTCTTAAAGAAATTTTAATTACTCTGGTGGCCCGATGCGAAAAATAAAAAAGGGAGAGTTGAACAGATTTTAATTGGAACGGTAGAAATCACGCTGGAGGACTCCTCAGGCAAACAGAACCATTTATGATTCCACGACCGTTTGGCTCAAGTACATAATACAATTTCGTATTCACGTCTAGTCCACGAGGTACAATAAAGGGGAGATGAAGTCGGGAGCTGACGAGCTCTTGTAACGTCTCAACACCTACCAAGGCTTAATCTTGACACAACAGACACGAGAAAAATTTATATTTTATGTGTCGATACGTCCGTAAAACTTCCAAATAAAGTATTCATTAGTGCTTCTTCGGTTCGTTTTCGGGCAAAGCTTTTTAAAAAAAACACTCCGTCTTTATTGAATCCTTTTGCATGGAGGAGCTTTCGCTCTGCAATTTTCCACATCCGAGCCGAAAGCTCTTTAGAAGAAGAAAACATCGATTCGAACAAAAGTTTCTCTAATATTTTTTCTTTTAAGGGGGTGCGTGAGGGTCATTTTTATTGTTGTCGATGTTGCGTTCGTGCTGATGGTGTTGTAAATCCTGCAATGCGTCCGAATTTATTTCACTTTATTTTTACAACTTTGTCTTGGATCGAATCGGATTTCTTGGAACGGCTTATCTACAATTTTGGAGTGGATAATCAGATGAGGAAAGGCACAGGACGTTAACCTGACACTTATTTCCGAAAGAAACCTTTGTTTGTAAACACGTTAGGGAAAAGTGCATGGCACTGGCACACTGCAACAAGTTTGAGGAATGAGAGCAGACATGCAAACTTTACGACTTACATTTCCCCCCCCTCGAGTTTAGATTTGACTTCTGGAAAGAAATCTTAAGACAGATTAAAATTAAGGTTAGAGTCACACGGCGTTTGTTTTCTAGATTTTATATTTAGGTTTTTTTTGCGGCATCACCTGATATGTTTTGGAACATCGTGTGCACTCGTTCTGTAATTAAATTGTGCCCATTTCGGTCGTCTCTTTTTCCAGATGATAATCCAGTTATCTATCAAAGCAACCGAAAAAGCCAACATGTTACGCTCGGAATTATTTATCATCGTGGGGTATTTTTGCGAGCGAATCCAATTACACCGCTTAGTTTTACCTTCAGTTATTTTCATAAGGATTTTCCGTCGACGATCGTTTGCGCAAATATTGTTCCACAACCGAAAAATCCGTAAAATTTATGTTCGTTTTACCCTCCAACTATTCCAGCGCGCGTCTGCGGAAATTTATCGGTTACTGTGATGGCCGCTATTGATTTTTTATTTTAATTAGTACTCGAGGCACGTACTCGACATATACCCCTCCTCCAAAATCTCCCGAAAAATACGTTTTTTGTTGCTGATGATATTAAATTATTGGCGTTTTTCTCTTGGGGTAAACCGATCCGGTACGTGTTTAATTATGCCCGTAGTGTCGGCGCCGTTTTAATTTCACACAAAAACGGTCAAGAAACGCACGCCACGTAAAGCTAAGCAATAAAATATTTATTCGGGACTCTGATATAGGATGCCATTTGCAACTCGACACGAGAATCGTTGCTTTAAAGCAAACAACCAATAAAAGTGAGATTGGCGACTATAAAATTCGAAGAAGAGGGCCGGAAGGAGTTTCATTAGACGATTAGACGTGTGCTACAAGGATTTACTACCTGTATCGCGTGGATGGATATTTGGGAAATAGTAGGAAATATCGACAGCTCTGGAGTGTCCTCGCATGTTGGTTCGATCTGTGCCGGCGATCGAAAAAAGGTGCGGTGGCGATCGGTCGCACTCGGATCGATTAAAGTGGAAAGGCGACGATCGATCGAGGACGAGGGTGCTCGAACGATGGAGTGAGCAAAGTGCCGCGTTTACTACTTTATTTAAATTTGTTTTATTTACGTTGGGATTGCCTGCTTGATTAGCGCGTTTGAGTACAAAGGATGTAGCCTGATCCGGGCGTTTCGTAATTATTCAAATATTGCCCAATTAAAACGTGAATGTATATTGTTGTAGGACTTGGCTAAATTTCCTGTCCGATCATTTCCGGTCAGAAGATGCCGCCGGTCCTGAGTAGAGCTTTTGGACCCAGCAGCGGGAAAATCAATAGAAATTCTCCGAGTATTAAGCTCTCTCTGTTTGTGTCGCTTGGTTAGCGTCCAAAGTCTTAACCGCCGCTTCGAATGTGTGTAGAGCAGTTTTTGGCGCGAAATTTTCTCGAAAGCCGAGTAAAAATCCGGGTATAAATCAGGCATTCTACCATAATTAAATCCCAGCGGCCTAGAATTCTATTTATACGTCGAAATTGCAACGGTAACGTGGGGGCGACACGCAACCGCATGGAAATTAACATGGAAACATGGCCTGCTTACTTCACGTGACAGCAGCTGAACTTGATCTTCCTCACAGTGATTTTTTTTAGCGTTAAGAACACGCGAGACCGTTGAACCTTAAACGGTTTCCTTTGTATTTCAATCGGTCGCGATAAACGAAATTAAACCGATTCGATAAAATCTGAAAGATAAAGGAGTTAGAATCGTGTCTTGGGGGGGTTTTGACTCTTTGTGAGGCCGAAGTTAACGAAACGGTTTTTTCGGGGGCGTCTTCGAGAGTTATTGCCGATGATTAAAGTCGGGCCGGAATTAAAGCACTAGTTTAAATCCGGACGGTGGGAATACGAATTGCGTAGATTGAAGCGTGCGGATTATCTAGGATCCCGGAGTAGATGAAATTTTGAAATTTGCGATACGCTTGTGACGACAGGAACCGGAATTAGCGACGGAGGTATGTAATTCCGGATGTTGGAAGTGAAAACGTGTCACGGTGAGGAATTCCCTCTCGTGACCGAGAAATTACGATTCCTATCGTTTTTTAAGCAAGAGCAGATGTAGGTAAATTACTCGAGGGAGTCTACTCGTTCGCGAGATTACGTACAGCGCTTTTCGTGTAGTAATATTCGATATTGAAAAGTTTCGATAAAAGCTGGAGCAACACGCACGTTAGTCAACTCTGATGCTTTCAGAAGGATTTCCATCGAACGTAATCAATCGTCGAAAGAAGAGGCTCCGTCGCGAAACCTTATCGAAATCGTATCGGGAAATATTAATATTTTTGATACTCGACGTCTGGGTATTTTTACCTGTCGTCTGTTTTATTGTTTGTCATCGGAGGAAAAAATATTTATCAAGGAAAAGCCTCGCATTCATTCTGGAGAACACGGACTGAATTAGTTCGCTGACAACGCGAGTTTTTTATTTTATTGTGCAACGTAGAGACAAAGCAAATTTATAAAGCACATTTAAACTGTTTACGTTTTGTTGGAAATGCCGTCGTGGAAACAATTAGATAAACGCTTCAAAACAAAATTATTCCCGCTTGCAACAATGAGGTCTAAAAATACAAAAAAGACGCTCTCCCAAGATGGCAGTCCGTGCACCATTCCGGAATTCCGTCGGCTTTGGGCGGAATGATGCCCATCGATTAAATTCTTCTATTAAAAATACGTCTCCGCGTCGGAATTCTAGCAGATATTGATTTATAGCGTGCAGTCTTCCAAAGTTGATCAGCTGGTATTAAACGAAATTGGTTTCTTTCAGACGGAAGCACTCCGAGACGGAAAAGCATCCAGAATAAATTACACCATGTCAAGTTCCCAAAAAAAAAAAATCGGAAAAACTATCGCACGCGAACGCTCACTTTCTCTTTTAACGAAACCGTTTCATTTTCATTTTAATAATAATAATAATTCGACTTAAAGACGAAAAAACACGTTCGGGCGTTAATTCAGTACGTTCGAAATCGATAGCAAAACGCCAGCATCCGAATGAGAGTTAATAAAAACATGAAGCCGGACTGAAAGCTCAACTAACGACATCAGAAAACTGATCCAAAGCTCTCAATTAAAGCGATTGAAAGCAAGAATTTCTATTCGTCAAAGTCTCGCTTCACTTTAATCGTGTAAAGTTGAAAAGCTGCAATCGTTCTTCGTTAAATTCGTAAGCGAAAAGTAATATTAACTCCGAAACGGAGCCGATGCACCCATAAATTTCATACTCGGGATGTGCAAGGTTCGAGGAACGCATTTCTTATCGTTATGTCTAATATAGGGAAGCTGTGCAGCGCAACGTGCGGAAGAGAAATGGTTTTTGTTTCGTGATATTCACGGAAACGTTAGCTGTTCGATCGTCCGCGGCGTCTTCGCACGATACATTTGAATTTTTAATTAAAAGTAAATAGTTCGAGGAGTTTAAGCATTTATTCCGCTACAAAAACAAACGCAAAAAGTCGGGTATTTTTAACTCTATTTTGCAAATTGCCTAAGTAAGAAATTGCGCGGAGGACTCTTTATAAACTCTTCTTGATGGAGGGATAAAATAATATGGGTCAACTCGGTATTAGCATAATTCTTTTGATCAGGAAACGTAAAAGTCGAAAATTTGCAAACGAAAAAGAAACTTTCTGAAGTTTAGATCCTCAATTAAAGTACCTCAAAGTAAATGGCGACACTGTTACGTTAAATTTAAAGAAAAACAAACGCGTGAAAACGAGTGGAACTACCAATATAAGCGCTTTGGGTGCTTAATTTATCTAGTTTTCTGGAAAGTGCTGAGCTGTACTCACCGTTTAGGTTGAGTTCCGTTGCAGCTTTACTATTATCCCTGCTGTTCATCGCAGTGTTAAATTCTGTAACTGTAGTGCCATACGACACGGCCGATCCGGAGCTAGTACTCCTCCTCCCCCCGTTGATCTGTCCAACCGTGGTCAACTCCCCATCCGACGGATGCAAGTAATGATCGCCATATCTATCCCTATAGGAAGTTCTGTGTTGGTGAATCGAATTTAGGATAATGTTAGACGAAGTCCTGGACAGAGCCTTCCTCTGCCTGATCGCTTCCTTATATATCCTGCAGTACATAGTCACCATGACGATTCCGGGAATCCAAAAACTGATGGAACTACTAATGAGTGCGTAGTACTGATTTACTACAAACTTGCACACGTTCGGGTGCTTCTCCCTGTACAGTATGTGGTCGTCGGTCGTGTACCAGCCGAGGAAAATCGGCGTGAAACTAATCAAAGCGGGCAGAATCCATACGTTCGCTAGCATGAAACTAACAGTTCGATGGGTCATGGTGATGGGGTATTCCAAAGGTCGTACTATAGCGTAGTACCTGTCGACGCTAATGCAGCACAAGTGGAGAATCGAGGCCGTCGAAAAATACACGTCGAGCGAGTTCCACACGTCGCACATAAAGTACCCGAACAGCCATTTGCCGCCGGTTAGTTCCACGCTAGCGTTGAACGTCATCGCGCACAGAGCTACCAACATGTCGGCCATGGCCAAACTGACGACGTAGTAGTTGGTGATGACTCGAAGTTTTCGGTGACGATGGACGCTGATTATGACCAGAGCGTTGCCCAGCACGGCACTCACGATTATCGTTCCGAAAATAAACCCTTTTAGTATTAGCAGCAACAGTTCCGTCCAGTGGGGTTGAGGACTGAGAGTGGCGACGTTGGTGTCGTTTGATGTGGCGTTTTGGATCAAGCTGGGGACGTTAGTCGATGTCGCCGTTAATGTTGCTGAGAAAGAAGCCATTGCGTTCACTATCATCGTTTCGTCGTTTGAGGGACGACTGCTGGTCAGATATCGAATTCTAACATCTCGCTTCTGTAAAGAAATTTACGTTATTTCGATATGAAGTGGGATAAAATTAAAGTAAGGGGTTGTGGGTACTCATCTCCTACGAGTGTAAAATTTGTGGCTTGAGCCAAGGAAGAACGCTGTCTACACAGTAAAACTTGAATCAGGGCAGCATCCGAAAGTCTTTTAGACTTCTTATCGTCGATGAGCAGACGTTGACTTTCAATTAAAGTAGGAAAAAAATATAAAAACGATTTATAAAGCGCCGAATGAATCGAGAAATACAGTGGCGCGTTTTCATACCTAATAAATGACTGAGACGCCGGGTCACATGTTCTTTGAACCCTATATTTATTTTGTTCTGGTTTGGCTCAGTGAGCCACAAAACATTGTTTCATAAAAAAACACAACACGAGACAATATTTCCAGTTTAGGGGGAACTATCGACAAAATTTCTCTTGGCAAATTAAAGTGTTTATTTTGTAATGGAATTTACTTATGTAGCCTACTCATCTGCTCACGCTTGGGATTTACTTCAACGATAATTATGTCTCGTTAGATATATCACAAAATTCGTGGAATTCGGTCGGATGAAACTTGGTCGCAGACTATGGGGGATGTAAATTACTTTGGGCTTATACAACTCAGTTTTTAATGCGACGAGAAAATGAAAAATACAGTTACATGTAGTTTGAAATTAAAACGAGTCTGAACCATTATAATACACTCGTTTGTAACTTAACAACATGTCGTTTTAAGCGTTTCTGTTATCGGATTTTTCTTCTACTGTGCGGAATGGTGTGTTCGGGTAACATAACTCGCCTTTCTGTCGACAGAATTACATTTTGCTTCGAAATTGTTCCAGTAAATACCTTAAATAAAATGTGTTTTAATAGCTACACTAACTTGCTTTATTGTATTTCGGGGCTTAAATCCCAGGTCGCAAAACTGATGTGTAGGTAGACAGAAATGCAAACGGAATTGTGTTTTCCGAGTGAATACGCAATATTTGCGTTGCGAAATAACAGCATTTTAGCTTATGCTTTTCAATATCATTTTCTTTTTTTTTTTTTTAATTTAATAACGTTATTAATTGAAGATAGTTCCGTTAAATTATATTATCGCGAAAATATGTTTCTCTTTTTTGTGCGATTCATTTCTCACGGACTGAAGCCATTAACGTTCCGGGAGTAATGTCATGTCATACTCTAATATTTGTATTGTCTGTGATTAAAAACGTGTAATTCGCTTGGGTTGTTATCACAATCGCCTGCAGCTTGTGTGGCAAACTTCATCGCCGTGAGTAACTACCATCATTGCACGCCTGTGGAATAAAATATAATATTGCTTCATTACGAAATATTATTGGTTGGTCAATGACGCGTATCTTACAAACATAAATCAACTAGTTTTGTTTTCGACGCTCTAAAAATGCGCAGTCTTACCAACGTTAATTTTTCGTATCGGTGTGGCCAGATTCCCGTACAAAAGACATAAATTACCAGCGCGATCCCTAATTTTGTTCCAAGGAGCAATAATTCATGTTGCCGGCAAGCTAAAGCATTGCAGACATGTTTACATTAAGTAGATTACAAACATTTTTAATCGCCCGAAAAGAGTTATTTTTGAATTATATCACCGTAGCGCAAAATTTAGACTGCTCGTTATTCGGACAACTTTTAACGAGGCACAAAAGAGACCATTAATTACAACATGAAATAATTACGTTCTTAATTATATAAAATGTAAACCATTGAATAAGTTTGCCGAGATGAGGTCGGAAGTTTTTCCACAAGTTTCCTCGAGAGCACGATATTCTCTCATTTAACTCGAGACGTTCTTAGCACAAAGCTGGCTCTTGATGCATCTTAGCCATTATGTTGCACTTGGCGCTGAGTGAAGTTTTAGGACAACAGCTGGGCTTTATTGCGAGGGAAAATGCAGAAAAAGTCTTAACTTCGATTGACTTTTAATGAAATCGGTGATGTAGTTTAAACTGCCGACTTTTACTGAACGGCAGCTTCTATGGAAGATTTGATTTACCGGCGATGCTTTGAAGCTCAGGCCGTGGTATGTTGATGCACTGCACGATTAATCGTTTGCTTGATGGCATAGATCGTCCACCTTGTCCTAGTTATAACGCAAAAACTTATAAAATTGCCGTCGAACTTTTCCGAGCGCAACAAAACCCATTTAGTTTCGTGTTGGAAGTTTATGCACTTTGTTTTACGTGGTTTATTTGTGGGGGCGGGAGAAAACTCTCCGAGTTAAATTTGTAATGCTGTAATGGTGCTTACCAAAGTAGCTTGCTTCTAGTGGAATATATAACTACGAAAAAATTCAAAATTGATAGTGTGAAGAAAGTACCTACTCTGTTTTATAAAAAGTACCTATCCCGGCGCCTCCACCAATTTCGCGATACCGGATTCGTACGAATACTCTACTGCGCTTTTGAGAATATCGAAAATGCATATCGCGTACTAAAGTGCTACCAAAAAAAACGCAAAATTTCATCGTTGCATCAATGTTCGCTCGTTCTGTGATCCAAAAACTCCAAATTACAGCGAAACTTGAACGGTCGTAACGAAACCAGTTTAGTTTCATGCTGAAAGTTTATGCAATTCGTTTTGCATGCTTTATTTTTGGAGGTGGGTCTCGCGAGATGCGAAATCTTGTTATCCAAAACAATGACGAAGTTTTAATGCGTCTTCGGGGGTACGCGTGGAGATTTTTTTGCCAAGAAAAAGCCGTCTAATTAAACCGAGAGTTGGACGTTTGCAAGTGCATGAATGTTTCATGGGTCTCGCTCGATTCTCTAGATTTATAGTGAGTGCCGGAAAAGATTTATTTATTTTTTTTTTGCAAAAACAAGGAGGGAAAAGTTGCCGGTAATAGGAGCTTTAAATAGATAGAGGCGATTCATTCGATTAATTTAGTTTGAAGCTGCTAAATTGGGACGAAATGTGTTGTTCGGTTTTGGTCTAAGTGAACAAAATGGGTATTGAGAGAGTCGGAATCAATAGTTGAGTTTCATGAAATTGCTGAATTGTTGGACTGGAACCAAAACAATTAATTTCCGGGGCGTTATGTTGATGGGCACAGATCTGGCAACTGTATTGTTTGCAGAGCAGAGATATAGTTGGAGGTGTAACTTGTAGCTGACTCCGTTGCGTCAAAGTTTGCGAATATTAGTGCAGTCTTTTTGCTGGCTAATAACCCCCAAAAACTTCATTTTTTGTTCGTTCGTGCCACTCTTCGAAAGCCGGTTCCTTCTGTCAATCAGTCCTTTTTCTCGTTACGAGCGTAATCCATTCGAAAAATATTCAAATTTCGATCCCAATTAACTTGTGTACTTTATCTCTTCACGCTCGGATTCACGCATTTCACAAAAACCGCGATTGCATTTCGTTGGACATCATAATCTCTCAATTATACGTGTTTGCGATCCGCGTGTATCGACATCCGCCATTAAACAGGTCACTCTTGAAACTTTGCTTTTATCGGCTCCTAGCGGTTTTTCGATGCTCTCTCGTCCATAAAAATCTTAGAAATTTTTCATGAGATTCGTGTGACAATGACGCAGGTCGGCTCTTCTATTAAATAATGAAACAGGAAAAGCGGAACGCGGATTATTTTTAGACTCGCATTATTGCTATTTTTTTCTATCAATATTTTAGCGATCTGATTGATGCTGATGCCGAAACTTTTTGTCCGGCCATGAATTTTAACAAAGGGGATGATTATTGATCTCGTTTTTATTTTGTGTAAGCTGTCGGACGTGACAGATATAATAAAAGCGGAAAAGCATTGGCGGCGGGAATAATTGAGTAATAATTTAGCGTCTCGTTAATGTTGAAAAATGTACTATGGACTTTTATAATATTGACATATGACGCTCTATCAGATTTCGAAATTCTGATTTCGAAACGGAAAATAGAGTGGCGGCGGAGTAGACGCTCATAAATGTTTAATAACGGAGAATTGCAACATTTGTTTGTCGTACGCGACTAATTCAGCGTCGACTTTTGTGTTGTTGTTATTTATACACTGGTGCCAACACCCTGCCATAGAGTTACTATCCAAGTTTGTGTCGATTAATAAAGTTCAACGCAAAAAGACCTACGTGAATAAAAAAATACACAAATTTTTAACCGCAGGACTACATCGTAAACTATCCTTTATCTGACTCGCGCGATTTTTGACTGCATTTATGGCGGTAATTCTGGCGGTCACGCTTTCGTTGGCTGTTTTTCGGTGTTCCATTCTCGTCGGCAGCAATCCCATTGATACGCCGAGATTCGGTCCAAGCATGAATTTTAACAAAGAGGGTGTTTATTGATCCCATAGCCACCTCATATGACCGTTTAGCTGAGACAAAGCCGATACGGGCGTATTTTTTCATAACGTGCGGAAAGTGTTGTCTCCATATTTCCCACCAATTTTCCTCCACGTAGGATAAAGGCCGTATTGTTCCGTTCGGCCGTATTGTCCTGTTCGACGGCTTACAGTTTATAACGCCGAAACCCAACAAAACATTGTTTTATCAGTTAATTGGGCCTCGGTAGCCAGAAAATCCGTTTTTGGGTCAATCACGTCGCGATAAATATCCTCGAGGGTTATTTTAAGGAGCCGTTTATCAATGAAATTATCTGGAAGACATAAATAGGCGGCGAATCGATCAGAGTGATTTTTATAAGACACGTCTTGACTAAAATAAAACCGATTCGATCCGAGCTGCGGCGGCTGATAAAGTCGGGGACGCATCTTCGAAGAAATAAATAAATGGAAAACGTAACAAAGAAAATGAAATAGGCAGGCTTTGTAGCGCAAGCAGGCTGAAGCTCCGTCGGAAAGGAGAAAGGATTTCAATTTAATTCAGAAAGTATCCTACTTATTGTTGCACTTATATAAAGGATAACGATTTTTCCCGGCGAAAGACTCCTTCCGATCATTAGTCGGCGTAAGCTTGACCCTCTCAAGGATTCGCGGATGATCCTTTTATCTCGTACGATTTATTTCGTTTATTTTCGGTACTGCCGCAATCGCAGACACGCTACATTACCGTAAAAGTGGACTGAGCCGCCGTGAAATATTGGCGCTCTTCGCCGACGTATCGGCAAAATTGTGTTCTTTTGGCGATTGGCCAATAGATAATTTATAAAATATTAACACGACCATATCGATTGGGAGGCTTAGTGCAGCGGCCGGATTGCAGATTTTCTCTTTCCTTTTTCTTAGAAAAGTGGCCTTAAATAATACAAACAGCGTCCGAATGATTGATCGGGCGAAAACAATTGTTTTGACTTTGCTGGCTCATAAAATTTTCACTGGATAGTGGATGCGGAGATGGGCAGTGCACGGTCGGCGGTTAAACGCAAAAATCAATCGGCCATGATAAAGGGTCAATTTGAACTCGTAAATTCACTATTTGCATCAGCAAATAAAGTAAGATTTATCTGATCGCATTACTGGCCGAAAAAACTATGTCGGATCGACGTCGAACAAACAACCAAAAAATAACGTAAAAGTGTGGTTGTCGAAACGTCGCCTATACACTAAATTTATCAATGCACTACTCGTTACGTTTCAATTTGCAGCAGTATCAGGAATGACGTTCCAATTTTTTTAAACTGTGTTAGAACCCTCGGGAACTAAAGATGTCAATTTCGAACGACTTTAAAAAACGTGGCTCCAAACACAAAATTTATTTGCAATTTACGGGCTTATTAGTTTGCTGCTCCAACATGGCGGATGCTGCCAAATTATTTATTTTCTCTCAACTAGTAAGCTAATCAATACCCCGCTCAAACTTTAACCCAGACATCGATTCTGCAGCGGGAAACTAAAGTTTACTTATTTATAAAATGCACACAAACTGCACACTTCGACACAATTCACTGAAACTTTTAATACTGAGTGGTGGCAATCGATTGCACTTTTATAATTAAAACTCGGCGGGTTATTACCTTGTCACAATCTGAAAATACTTTTTTTTTTCTATTTCGTGTCTGTATAATGACAATGTGTTATTTATTTATACAAGAACGTTAAGAAAATCGATGCTTTTTACCTAAATTACAAACGGATATTTCAGTTATAATGTCATGAAACTGATATTTATTCGTTTCATTCACAAGCGGTGAAGTTAGACTTTGTGTCGATCGAAAGTGGTAGAATTAATTTAATAGAGGCATTTGTCGTGGAGCGGATATATGTGATTGTTTGTATGTGGGGGCGGATGAATGATTCTCACATTAAAAATTTACGTTAAGTAAATATACCGGATTACCAAATAAGATAAATTAGCTTTTTAATGTAAAAAAAGATTTCTTAAAGTTTTTTCTTGCAAATCTTTAAATTTTCACATGTTTATTAATAATTGTAAAAGGACGCAAAATGTCCTTTTCCACACAGACAAAGCGAGGAGGTTTATGTAAGTAGCGGCCAATAATTCTTATTGTGTTTGTGATTTTCTGTTTCGTTTCTTTTGCAGCGGTATTTACGACCGATTGTTTCCTCGCGTCCATGCCACAGACACTTTTCAATCTCTCACCACGTATCACCTGTCAAATCTGCATTGTACTAATGTACGCTTCCTTGACGTACAACCCTTTAACTTTGTCCTTGGCATAGCGCTTAAAATACTAGTTTCCAATACCGTTCCTGCTGAAAACAATTTACATTCGTAATGTAACAATTACGCTGTACTGTCTGTCATGCGATCGGATCTGTTCAATACCGGCCACCCTCACTCGTCCATGATGTAACCGACCCATGACGTAACGTATGACGTGCCCACCGCCGCCACCACCAGTACTCTCGTCGTCCGCGCCGTAAGTCATGATGATATCGTGCAGCACGCCGCCCCCACGAAAAAAAATCCTGACCTAAACGCGATTAAAATTTAATACATCCGAGACACGCTTGAATTATCGACATGGCCGTTAGCAGATTGAAACCATCGGAGATCTGTCACCGATGATGGCATTCCGTGGCCTTCTGTTTAATCTCTCCATCGTTTTTCGATCGGTTTTTGCCCAAGTCGGAAATTAAACACGTATGTCTGGTAACGACGTTAACGTCTCCTTATTCGAACCACCCGGAGCAAAAGCTGGGCCTTTTTATTTATGTGAGGGACGTATATAATAACATGAAGGCACGTCGCCGGCGTGTTTTGTTCGAGTAAGAAACTCTCCGGCTGGAATTAATGGGACCCGGGGGACACTGCGTTTTTATTTATTATTGTTATTCCTGTTTTATTTTCCTCGCAGGATTTCGGTGATTTTTTTCTTTGCGCGGGCTAATTTACTTTACGATTAATTAACCGGACCGACGACGATCACTCAAGTTCGCGACGAGAAAAAACGACGAGGTTTAAAAGCCGGTACAAGAGTAGACACGGGAATAATAATTAACCTCGCTACAATGCCCTAACGAATTCGCATTGTTATCAAAACAGTAATCTTGAGAGAGTCGGAGGCGTGTTTGTCGTTTCAATGCTCGAAGAGCCGTTTAGGTGGCTGCAGAGAGGCGGGCTTTGTTTGCCTGCAGCTGGGTGCTGTGTTGTCTCAGGAGGCGGCAATCGACAAGAATTCAGACGAAACGACCAACTACTTTGGTAGGTCGGAGATCGCTGAGGTGACAATTACAACATTCACTGTCGAAAAGTGGGGTTTGCGAAAAATAGTTTTAATTCTCTCATTATTAATTTAATTATTTTGTTGTTTTCTATAGTTACAATTACCAGTAAGAGTAAAAGGAAACCGATTCAGGCTTTCTGTTATGCTCCATTTATTGTAATATACGCAAATAAAAGAAAATCACAAGAATATTTAAATTTTTTATCAAAGTCGAAGTTCGAAAGCAATTTTGAATCATTTTTGTCGGTTTGTTTTTGTTGCGTTGTGAGTTTTCTCTCATATGCAAAGATTTAAAACATTTATTACCATAGTTTTATGTTTTTCCAGTATTGTAACAACGATAACGAGAAAAGCGTCAAGAAAACGTTGACAGCGTAGATCTCCAACCTAAACAGAAAAAGTGCCTTCGAGTAGATCATGAAAATTTATTCGTGGTAATCGTCCTGCTAAAAACGCGTTCTACTTAAATTATCCGTTTGTCAATTAGATTTTAACTACTGTGGCTGTGCTTCATTTTGTTTAGTAATGTTAATGTCTTGTACCTAATGAAAACCCTGTTAAGCAGGATTTGTGAAGCAATTATTCCAGAGTTGTAGCAGCGTTTTGTACGCTAGTTACCAACACTAATTAACCACCTTCAGTATAATTAGTACAACTGGTAGTTGTCTTTTTAGATAAATTTACTCCGTTGCCTGACCTCGGACCTGAGCCGCGCTCCTTCGAAAACGTTTTAAAATATCTATTTTTTCGTTGTTTTTCAAGTACAAACTTTGTCGTTTTCGCCCCCGCTGCTTGGGCCCCGTAGATAATTAAGCAATTTTTTTCTAATTTGGCAAATGGGTGGCCATCACGCGCCAAATAAAACGGTAAGCTGTAATCTTTTTTATAGGTCAATTCGGCACGATGGCGTCCAGGTATTATGACGAAGCCCATTTACCGCGAAATCGCCCGTAAAGTAGATTACGCATTCCGCAAAAAAAAATTAATCCTTCAAAGTCGCCAACTCATAAAAATCTCGTTCGCTTGTCCAGCTTTTAATCCGATCCCCTCGTCGATCGGTAGTGCATCGTCAAAGAAATAATGAAAAGCAACAAAATTCCTTTTATCTCGGTCTTCCTAATTCTGAAACGTCTTCGCTGCAGCTCGACTGCACATCCGTTAATAACACTAAAAGCATGAAACACTAAACCGTTAACAATTTCTAGACACTTTAAAAAGCCTAGAAATATTTAAGAACCACTCGAGCGTTGAACGCGAATTTAATTCTTCTTGCAACTTTTTAAAGTTAAACAGTTTGGCTGGCTTCTCGCCCCGCCATCGTCGCCCCCCGAAATTAGGCAGTTTATCTCCCAGGAAACGTGTTCATATTTCATTCGCGCGTTTATCTCTGGGGAGGGTGGGAAAGCTACTTACTGGTTCTCGACGGGCGCACTGGGGAAAAACGGTACTAGTTACGTAACTTTCAACAAGTCTTTCATTGAGTGCTTGGACGGCCGAAGAGCGCGAGATCGCGAGACCTTGGCGTCCGTAGACAGACTGGATGGCGTCCCGGCGCTCAACCCTCTAACGTCGAGACGCTTGCGCTATCTAAAACCATGGATTTCCATATCAAAACTCTTAAATTACAACGGCCCGAAGTTCGCAGATAATACCGGGGGAGGAAATGAAAATCAACTCGACTGGTTAATATTAAATGTTAATTATCGTCACACCGGAACTATTAGTTTTGTCTGCTGGTGGCGGGAGGTGGCGCGGATTCATTAAGCCGACACCTTGGGGCCTCGGATGAATGCCTCGAAGATTACCATCGGCCCAAAGTTCCACAATTTCTACTGATAAACACATAATATGATTAAGTTATTTCAGGCAAAAGTTCGTTCTTGCGAGTTGCTATTTGACTTTCCCGAATTATTCGGAGAGAAGTTTACGACCAGTAATTTACTTAAACGTAGATTTTAGAAGCGAACGCACGTTATTATAAGGCTGGCGAGTAACCTATATTGCAGTTGGGCACAAATTAACGAGATGGGTTTTCTTACGTCAGTTGATTTTTGCTCAAAATTCAACATTATGATTACGTTGTGGCACTGTTAAAGCAACGTTTTAAATGTGCCTAACTTTAATTACAATCTCTAATAAGTAACTTTTCATTTGCTCCTGTTTGACATAAAAAATTAAGGCAGAGAAATTAAGTTACGTTATTGCCCTGTGTACATTTAACGCTAAAGAAACACAAAATTCAAAATTTATATAAGTATAAATATTTACAAAATTTATTAATTAATCTTTCTCCCTGCAAAATTTTATACAGAGCTGTGCTCTTTCACAAGTTCTTTTTTTAAATAAGGTTTCATTCCTTATTGTTCCACAGTTAATAATGCATATAACAGCGAATGGCTCAGAGGGACAGAAATCGGTACACAAGACAAAAAAGAAAAGAACAACCTTGCTTTGTGTGCAGACTCAATTTAAACCCTACGGCAAAATAAATTTCACGTCATCAAATTTACTGCAATTTATTCCTACAACTTCTTTGTACATAGCTATTCGCTTTTCCGTTTTAAACCCCTCATCTTTACGATAATCAACTTAGTTCTTCCAAGAGTACAACCTTCCAGCGTTGCTTACCTTGTATACAATTTATTCCGGCACTACCCATTTCCACGAGAAAAACTCGAGTGTTACAATTAATTTAAACGAAACCTCTCCGGTAAATCCTCCATTGTCCCTCCGGAACAGCGCATTCCGGAAGATCAGGTGGCGAAACCGTACCATTATCCCCGTCCACGTTTGTCCGGGCGACTCTAACTTATCCCGGAGCAAGTATAAACGTCGTTACGGGAACGCAAATAAACACAACGTTCCAAGAAGATGACACTCCATTTATATCAGCTGAAACTAATTACGGCAAAACAAGACGAATGTTTCCTCCTCTCTGGGATTACGAATTATTAAAAATAACAAGATCCGGGATGAGTGTCATTATTTGGAGTTCTCATGACCTAAAAACGACAACGTAGCGTTCATGGTAATGGCGAGGTGATTGATTGGTCAAAGAGGAGATCGATGATTTATCGTTGAGGGACAAGTGGATGGTTTTTGGGGTGCCAAAGTTTCAAGGCTGCGATCGATGACGATTCGGTATTTTTGTGATGTTTTAGCTTGGAGAAGGCGATTTTTGGAGAAATGTGGGAGCCCTGTGCTGCCCGTTAGACGCCCACGTACGAAGCCACAGGGCTAATGTGGGTTGTTTATTATAATATTTAAGGGAGAAAAGCGGACTGATTTGCTTTGATTAACGCCGTATAAATTTATAAGATGAATTTTGTAGCAGACGTAAATGAAATTGTAAAAGTCTAAAGGAACTACTCAAGAGTGTTTCATGTTTATTTTATACCTACTCTTCACAGACACATAGGGGTAGATAATCTTCGATCACTGAGGCAACAAAGAAAACTTTTAATTTGTTTTTGTGTTGCTTATAGAAAACAATAATAAATAGAATTCTAGAAAAGATAAATGAATTTTGAAATTTTGTAGAAATAAATTTACCTACATCTTTTGAACTTTTCAAACTAAAACTGAAACTTGTTACCCAAGAGAAAACGAAGTAATCCTCACTAGTTTAATTTGAATGCATGAAAATTGCATTTACACTTAATCAAAGCAATCTCGTGTGCTTACCGTTGGTAGCATCGATATTTGAGGAATTATGTACCTACCCTTCACTTAAAATTTTCCGCAGGCTACATTAAGTATAATCGCTAAAGCACCAATTGCGCCACAATTTTATTGTGATTACTGATAAATAATTAAACTTTTTGAATATTTCACTGGCATATTTAGATGTTCGTCGGTTCGCCCTGGGTGCGAACACAATTTTAGCTTTATTGCCGCACCGGCACCACCTTTGAGTTTCCCCAATAAAATAAAACCCCTTAAATGCGAACGTAACCATTATAAATTTTAAAGCCCATAAACACCGGCCATTCCTCTGCCTGGTTTACGGGCACCCGCGTCGCCCATTCGCCACGCAAGCCTCCAACCGATAGCATCCCTATTATTCCCGAAAGCCCGTCAAAAATGCAATTCCTGCAGGAAGGAGAAAACACATATCGACGTAAGCAAGTGAAATTTCGACATTCCGCCCCAAAAAGCCATCGATCCGCTCCATTTCGTGAAGGTCAGCAGCAGGCAGGAATGCACCGTTTGAACGGAAAAGAGGCCATCGGGGGTGAAAACGGGAGCGCCGACACGCTAGTGACTTGGTGGTGGCGCGTCAGTTGTTGACCTAGTGCAGCTGCAACTGGATTCAATCAATATGCTCCAGCTCCGGTCCTTGATTTGCATTCTGTTCCATCAGGGGCGACCCACTTTAAACTAATATTTATTTATCGGGGAATATTCTAATGCGGAGAAGTTTGGAGTAACGGGGTCTGAGGTAAAAGTAGGGGACGGGGCGGTGGCACAAAAAGAAAACAGTTTTCTGACTCGGTCAGGAGGCAAGTGTCAACGTTCAGCCCAAAGTGCAATTTCAAACTTCGAACGTTATCAACCCTGAAACGTTGCCTTGACCGTGCCGGGACGAAGCCACCCGGCGAGCTAAAAATAAATTTTATGACACCGAAATTCGCAGAAACAGATATCCCAACAATTAAGATAATCTCGATTTGTTTTAAACTTCCGCCAAATCGTCGGCGACGAATTTAAATCTTGATAGATATAAATCTGGGAGCCGAAATTATTTTCGCGTGCAGATCCGGATTTTAGATAATTCCGTTATTAGCACAGCTGAATGTGGGCTATTCGAACGAAATACCCCAAACGACATTTTAATATCTGCATGGAGGAGGAGGATTTTGAGATTAGTGGAGATTTCAGACAGGACGCCTTGTCTGCAAAAATGACAGTCGCACCGAAGTTTCCCTTAAAAACGCATTGTACATTAACAAAGGGTTTTGATGGTGTTTCAGGATGAAAAACACATCTTTTGAAGCCCGTTTCATGCACATTCCTGCAATAGCGTTCATTTATAAAACTTTACCCACCATTTTTAGTAATCTTTAAAAACGACAACGCTCCAGAAAGAAACTTACTCGAACATGTCCAATTAAAAATAATCGAAATTACGAACGGCATGCAAACAATTTCATCATTTGAAGCAATAATCTACAAGTTTGGAAACTTTAGAGAGCAGACATAAAACTATCTTCTCGTGGGAAAAGTTTAAGGAATTGAAAGTATTCGAATTCAAATTTCGATGCACAAAACTGACCAAGAGAAAATTGAGAAGAAAATGTGTATAAAGATTTATTGCTTATCGAATGCCTGGGAATAGAGTGGCGTAAAGCGGTGCTTTGGGTACTTGACACAAAGTCTTGAGCAAATATTAAAGTTTCAGAAGCAGTGTCTCTGGCATTGCAACGCAAAATTTCGTAACATCGAACGAGAATTTATGAATGTACGTTTCGTTAAATAACAATAAAACTTAAACATTTTTCACATAAAGATTTTGGCGTTTTGTTGTATAATAAAGGAAGTTTTTCAATTTCGTACATTACGTTAACCAATGGAGTATCGATCCGCTTTAACAGATTTTGTCAGAGAATCACGTAATACTGGATTATTTCCTACTGTTACATTACACGCATAGTTAACAATAACACAACCCATAATAATTAGATCACGTTTAAAATTCATCTATGTTTGAAATTAATTAACAAGGGACTACGATAAATTTAAAATAAATATCGACAAAAAACTTTTTATAGTATTCTAAATAAAAGTCACGGAAAGGTTTCCGGTTGTTGTGTAGTTCATTTTTTGAAATTTTCCAGTGAAATTCCGTTTCGCAGACAATAAACAATATAGTCCTTAATATCGGCAAATAACTGGCTTCTATTTACAAAAGGCGGATAATATAGTATATTTGTTTCCTAAAACGCCGAACTCCGTTCAGCTCGATACTCATAACCATGCGATACGTCGTGGTACAGTGCCGTTGCAAACGTAGCGATTTCCTTAAAGAAAATTCTATTATCAACCCACTCCTCTATAAATAACTTCTCAAAATAACACAGCTTAACCCAGCAGAAATAGTAACCCCCACGAATAAACAACTTGTTTACGTTCCGTACCTCCGTCTGCAACTCCTTCTGTTTACAAAAGCATTCGACGATGATTTTTCATTAGCACGAACGACAAGAACCCGTTGCCCACTCGTCGATGCACAAACAAAAAGCCAAATTAATATCGTAAGGCCCTAATTAATATTCAATCAACGTGTAGCCGGGACGTCGATAACACTTAATTATCCGTTTTTTCTCAATTACCCCTCAGCGCCCTTGTTTTTGACCGGAACAATGGAGTTATCAAAGTCGAAAGAGCAATAAATTAAAAAAGAAAGTGTGGGGCAATTTAAAATCAAATTATCTTCTTTCTTTCGAGGAAGTTCGCAGAGCCAAACGTACCGTCAAAATTTACATTTTACCAATTAGGTTTTTTGCGCGCTTTGAACG